CTGGGAGAGGAGACAACCAGACAGCTGACCCCAACTGACCAAAGGCGTATCTCCTACCATAATGTGTCATGCTCAGCATATAAATTGCAGGGGCTGACCAAGGGGCTGTCACGGCTCTATTATTTTCATTATGTATTATTATCATTATTATTTGGTAGTAGTATTAGTATAATTATTTTACTTCATTTATTTTCAATTATTAAACTTTTCTTATCACAATCCACAAGTTTTCTTACCTTTTTTCCTCCGATTTGCTCCCCCATCCCACTGGGGAGGGGGAAGTGAGCAAGTGGCTGTGTGGTGCTTAGTTACTGACTGAGGCCAAACCACGAAAGCTGGTTTATGTGGCTTTTCTAGTGAACCACAGTTTGGGCAAATTTTCTGCTGCATGCTCAGGAAGTATCCATAGATATGAGGCCATGTGAGCATTTGAAGACTGTCTTCTGGAATGGTTGAGGATAAAGCCACATTTCCATGCTTGCAACAGAGGAAGACCAAACACTGTGGTCTATCTACTGACCAAGCAGCAGGTACTTGAGTATCACTTCTCCTTACAGAGAGCATTAAGAATAATGCCACACAAAATAAATCAGGTGATGCTAATCATCCAGTGCTTTGAAATCCAAAATTTTACACTGGAGACAAAAGCAGTTTGTTAGTCCCAATATTCTGCCTAAAAGTAAACACAGTGATGAAGGAAAATAGATAGCATAGATAGCACTGTTTCAGAACTATGTACATCTATACTTAAATTCATATTTATGCTGCAGTAGTCAGGAGGATTCTTAGGGAATTATGGAGATAATCCGGTTCATCCTGAAAGCATCTGCTTTGGTCCTGCATAGTCATACTCAGCAAAAATTGCCTGGCTTTGAAGACTCAGGCAGAAAGGACAATGATTTTGTTTTTTTCTTGGTGACATGACCAAGCTGAATAAACCGTTTTACATAGCCTTTCACTTGTTTCTTGGCATTCAGATCTTGAAACAGGGTTCTGAATGCCTGGCTGAGATGAGGAAGGAATGACCTTCAGCAGTTATGGAAAAATTAACAAATAGATTTGATGATAGCTAAGGGTTTTAGGGCAGAGAACGGGAATACCAGGTTTTGACCAGACCCCTCTGTTAAACATACATAGAATACATCAGCTAAACTGTTCATTCTACTTATTATTGTGCCAGATCAATTTCAGTTCAATGAAAGAGCTGAATCAACCCAAAGGGAGCAGTAGAAGACAAAGAATAAGCCGCTGTAAATATCAGTAACTTTACTCAACTAACTACTATCTGTGTTTACTCACTGAGTTGTTACTCTGGTTGCCACAATGTGTTACTGTGATTCCACAAGTTAGATCAGATTCTAGTAGAAACAGGGAACAACTCTGGTGTTCCTCTTTTTATTTTTTTATCTTTATCTTGCTATAGTAATTAAAAACCCACCCTAACGTTTTAAGTTATCCTTGCTTTCTCCTCTAAATTATACATTAGTGGACCTAACAATAGTTTGCAACCTCTGTGTAAAATTGTTAGTACAGTGCTTATTCTGACTGCGAAACTAAAAATGCACAAACCCACAAAAGAAACACTAAGAAGGTGCTATCTCCAAATTTTGCCTTAAATAAGTAACTTTTAACAAAGGACAAAATACTCTTGCTTCCAAGAACAGGATGAGCGATACAATTCAACATTACAGGACACAGCTCCTCGGATCTAACTGGTCATACCATTTTTCCTGTCATAAAGGAGGGAGCAAAAAACAGCTAAGACCTCACCCCAGATCTCTCTTTCCAGGTCTCCTAAACCAAGAAGCTGACCTCTTTAGCCTATTTGTTCATGCAATACCACTGTCTATGGCTGTGTGTTGTGGCTTAACCTGAGCTGGCAACTAAGCACCACACAGCTGCTTGCATGCCCACCCTCCTCCTCCAGGTGAGATGGCATAAAGAATCAGAAAAAAAAACACCCCTCTTGGGTTTAGATAAAAACAGTTTAATAGAACAGGAATGGGAGAAGAAATAATAACAGTATTACTGATAAAGGAATATACAAAAAGAAGTGATGCACAAGACAAAAACTGCTCACCACAGAGTGACTAATAGTCCATTCCCAAGCAGCGATCCCCCCCCAGCCCACTTCCATCAACCTAGGAACAAGATGCCTTATGGTATGACATTTCCCTTCGGTCAGTTTGGTCAGCTGTCCTGGCTGTGTCCCATTTTAGCTTCTTGTAGAGCAGAAGCTGGGATGGGCAGTATGAAAAACTAAAAAGTCCCTGGTTTAATGGAAGCATTACTTGGCAACAAGTAAAACATCAGTGTTAACATTCTTCTCGGCACAAATCCAAACATAGCCCCGTACTAGCCCCTATGTAGAAAATCAGCTCTACCCCAGACAAAACCAGCACACTGTCATATCTCACACAGTAATTTGTTACAGTAATTTGGGAAGAACAAACAGCCAAGAAAAGAAAAGAAACATACTGGAAAGCTAGTGGGTGTTTAAAAGAAAAAAGCTAAGATTATGGACTAAAACCTGAGATAGATTGGGAAGTGCAGGAAAATCATAGTTGTGAATTACGATCAATGAACTATTTCATATGAGCAAGACAGCGTGCGGAGAACTTTTACCATCGAGTCTGTCTACAGCTGTCATTTGTAGCTGATACTGAAACAGGCATGACCTGAAAATGGTGCAGCCAGAACTTCTTAAAATGTAGGTGAAACAGGACTACAGCAAGCTTCCTGTCACATGACATATGTTGGATGCCTCTGATGGTCACTCCTTCTCTTCTCCAGAGTTGATACTGTCTCCTAATCAAGCAACATCACTGAGAAAGGGATTCCTTGTGACTTTGTCACAAGGAATCCTTTCCGAGCCTCTGCATGCAACATCAGATAGCATTTCCTCACTGTACTGAATGTCACAGAGGTGTTAAAAGAAAATAATCCACGTGTCACTTAAAAAAAATTGAACCCATCATATATATGCTTCATTACTGCATTTTAACTAACTTACCTGGTACAAAAAATTCATTTTCTGTAAACCAGTTGTATTCCAAGTGGATTCCCAGATGAACAGCCTTTACAGTAACCAGAAAAACTAAGTAGACAACTGAAAATGTACCTGGAAAAGACAAAAGTGAAACAAACACCTGGAGGCAGTAGAAAGTATATGTGCTGAGTTTTATTTCTGCTTCATCCAACTAGTTAGAGTAACCCAAACACTTAGGTTTGGTATTCATTCTTAAGAATACAGGCCAGGTCTAAATTTTCTTTTTCTTTATTTCTTTTATAGGTCAAAGAGAAAGAACTCATTTGCACCCAATGCAAACTTTCAGCATGTTTAATGTTCTTCAGAGGCTGCAGTAGTGACAGAAGAAGTGGTACCCTCTAATCCCTGGTGCTGGGCAGGCAGGGAGCTCTCTAAGCAGTAGCAGACCAGCCCCAGCTTCAGCTGTCAGGATTTTAATCCAACATAAAGCAAAGTCGGCCACAGTACTGCAGCTATTACAACGTCCATTCAGTCACTGGCTTTTTGAACCAAATAGCCCAATGAGATATGAATGTTTACTGCAATTGGGAACTTTACATGGGGAGCTAGAAGCTGATGATGACATTTGATCGCTACGGATCTGAACCTTGTCTTGATCATAACCTTGAACATAACACTGGATTTGCATTACATCTCATTGGTTCAGAGGCATCCAGCAATATTCTGCACAGCCAGGGGACTACAGATAAGATCATAGATGGCTACATATACCTTGCTGTGTCTGCATGTGGGATGGAAAGCATATGATCTTGGCTCCTGCCATTTGAAAGAGATAAGGGCAGAACAGTAACTATCTAAAGACTGAAGGGAACTGAGTAATTAAGGCTACTCCCAGCCAGTAATACTGCTAGTCACCAGAGAACAGGCCATAAGTAACAAGAAAAAGCATTTTTACAATTTAGAATAGAGGTTCCGATAAAACATAATTTCATTCCAGCAGTATGTCCAAGGCTAAAAAAAAAATCTGAAGAAATTGTCATTTGCTTACACAGAGCATAGTCAAAGAGAGAGGAAGATAAAAGGTTCTGTACTCGAGCTGAAATGTTCTGCAGTTTCCTAATGATTTAGATTGCTGTAGGTGTAAAGATAAGTAGAAATTCTCTATTAAGATTCATTTTAGGATCTCAAAAATTGCCTTCCATTTTTTTCTTCTCCTATAAACTTCAAGGTTTAAAAAAATTGATGCAACTTTGAACGGCTTCTGAATTACATAACAACCTACTGAAGTTATGAGAAACTTCATAGTTTAATATTCAGGCTATCAAATTAAAAATAATTGCCCATGATAATGTGCTTATTTTAAAACCAGATACAGTAATAGCTAGATCTCACCTAATAAAATATTTTCTTGTCCTTAATGTTCTATCTAGTCTACATAAAAACCTTATTTTTTTACACAGAAGCACTCTCACTTACCCAGGTTCCTGTGCTGTATTTTCATTCAGTAGTTACAGCAACCGCAGATCCAAGCTCTAATTAATTGTGTTACACTGGAACAAATGACAAACTAGACCCTCGCTGCCCTGTCTTCTACCTCCTTTACAATACCTCTCCATCTTTTTCAACCCGTTCTGTGATGCCCACCTCCTTTTCCCTTTCTCTTCATCATGGGTTTCAACGCTATACCCTCAGACCTCTCCCTACTCCATAAACTGTGACCAACCCCACCCATCATCTGTGGGCTTTACCCGCTTTACCAATCCCACCTGCCTTTGTCTTCAATCTCAAGACATGGAAGCAAGGAGAACTCAGACTTTTTGTCCGTGTAGTACAGAATAGGCCAGAGTACTGGGACCTGGGGCAAAGTACAGCAGAAAGTTACACTGACTGATGTTGTTATTAATTAGTTGACTAATTGGTAGCAAATGACTTCAGGTCAGAAACAATTAATCTTTGGAAGCAACTGCCAGTGTTGAAATGTTTACCAGGTGAGAAAGGGTAAACCTGACTGTGCCAAGGTAGTATGCATCAAATACTGTATGCGTACCACCTTTTGGGAAAAATCTGTTGTAAATATAGTTGAACTTGTTTTACAGGATTATCAAGGGAGCAAAGGAAAAAAATAACCCAACTCCCTAGTAACTGCAAGATAAGCAGGGTAGAAAGCCTGTGGGTGATTAACAAACCAACCAACAAACCACTCTGAGGTACAGTATGTGCTGCCAGAAAACTACTTGAAAAGTGTGAAAAGCTGACCCGTGGAAAAGGACCTGGGGGTGTTGGTCAACAGTTGGCTGAATATGAGCCAGCAGTGTGCCCAGGTGGCCGAGAAGGCCAATGGCATCCTGGCCTGCATCAGGAACAGTGTGGCCAGCAGGACCAGGGCAGGGGTTGTCCCCCTGTACTGGGCACTGGTGAGGCCACACCTC